CACTAATATTTACATAACAAAACCACAATAGACTAATAATAAACAACTATAAAACAAAAAGAACACTAGAACATAAACACACATCAATACTATTACAAATCATAAACACAATATTAATTACAATAGTAATAATAAAAGAATCCATCAATAGTGTGTTACTATAGACTAGTAGTTGAATGAGTTACAGTTCCTGATCAGTTGGTAGATTATTTGTTGGTAACTTGTTGAGTGGTGACACTGTGTCTGACTGTCTGTGAATAAGGAACCTATAATCTTTATATAGTAGTACTCTTGTGATGTCTGTAATGTATTGCACAATAGGTGTTAACCCATGACATAAAGTTATAATCATTGGCTTGTTATAAATGTTACTGTCAGTGTCAGTGGTTTGCTAGAACAAGTTATGCTGTTAATTGTTAATCATGTCTTGCATAATTATAAGTGTTAGCCAATGGTCACTGTCATTGTCAGTGGCATGTACAAGTGCAAGTTTGTCTAGCAAATGAAGCTCATTTCACCAATCATTCCCCCACCAAATTTATAGTGTGTTAGCATAGAAAATGCCTTTTTGCATGTATAGCAACCATTTTTCTATAAACTATAAAACTACATTTACTGTATATGCATTTGAGTATAGGTGTGTGTATAAGCATACTTGTATGCATACATTATATGATTATGTGGATCTACATTACAGTACATTACTAGTAAAAAGTGACTCTGCCTATTATTTGGCCATTTTTGGCCATTTTAACCAATAAACTGTATTTTGTGTTTTTCAATAATGAATGTACACTACCCAACTCTTTACCATGAATTTGTTTGCAGATTAAAGTAACCACAAAGTTGCATTGTGTTTTATTGTGACTATTTAAGAGTTTTGTCTCTGTCTCTTTCATTTATTCATTCATTGAACTGTTTTTATTTCTACACAGAAATATGTGCTGTGTCACGTCATCATGTTCAAAGAATGAAATTGAAAGATGCCTCAAACTTTTTGGTCAGGCAGCAAACCCAGCAATGAATACTGTATCAACTACTAAAGCATGATTAGTGAGTATATTGAGGAAGTATAGGTTTGAAAGCGGATCATCTGATACTGAGGTTGGTTATAGATGATCTTGTTCATCATTGAAATACTTTCATGCATAATTTATTTTTGTAGATACAATTAAAAAAGAAACAAGGGTTTACTCAGTCTCCAAACGATTGTTTTTCTAAGAATGACTCCCTAATAAAATGAGTTGGAATTAAATTTTATTTTTGGGTAGTTTACAAGCATAATATTATTTTGAAATTTTTTTGCAAAATTATAATAAGTTTCTGTAATTTTATTAGATCAATCTCAAGGGCGTGGTGTGGGTGTTGTTAGCCCTGCCTTAAAACCACGTGGAGTCATCATGAGAATTTTTTATACTCCTGAACCTGGATTTCCTATTATCGACACAAGATAAGGGAACTTCTGATTGGCTGAAGGTGTTTAGTTGCTCCTAGTGAGTCAGAGAGTTGTTCCAGAGGATAATGGATTTCATGCTTACCTCAATAAACTTTCTTAAGTGTGGTGTTGTCCTCGGAGAGACTAGTTAGAGAGAGAATAGTATACATATACTTTTGTTGCATAGAAAATCTGAACCGATTCCAATCATAGATCAATGGTCTGATTAGTCTTGCCCCGCCCCTCCACAGGCAGCGAAGGGCAGGACGAAACTATGTTCCAATTAAATCTGGAATTTTTTAATTTGTTCAAAAATGGGCCCAAAGTCCCTGTATTATAAGTCAAAAAAGTATGGCTGCAATTGGTTCATGGTTTTATGTGCATGTATATAGCTACTGTATAAAAGCAGTTAAAACAATGCATGTCATGTATAAAAACCAGGAGGCTACTAGGAGACCAGAGTGACTTTCTCCCTTTCCTATTGACTGCAGTCAGTAAAGTCTTCAAGATTATTTCATTTTTAATGACAAACATCTTAACTTTTACTAAACTCAACTAATATAGATACATGCACATCTTGACATAAATTTGGAACCTTAAAAATTAAAATTTTAATTAGAATTTCTATACAACATATTTTGTATAATTAATTATAAAAAGATGTGTGCACGTGATGGTGGCTCATTTAGCAGTGCTGCACAGCAGTAGTTGTAGAACTGGCAATGACAGTTCAAATCGTCATAAATACATGCAATCAAAATTTTAAAGAATTATTTTTCAAAAAAATAAAACTAGTACATAAATCTCTAGCTTCAGTCTTGAGAATCCACTTCACATTTCATGTTTAATGCAGCTTGAACCTATCAATGATAATATTAAATTCCTTACATAAGCTTACTGTTATTATTGTTATTCTTCTTTTTGTATGTAGTGCTCTTAGCATCACTAGCAGTAGTAACCACTAGTGATCCCAGGCAGCGCCACGTGGAGGCGGCACTACATTGCTGCCCAAAAATAGAAACAACCTGAGGCCCTAGTCAGGCAGCTGACACTCGCAGGCCGCAAGACTACTGAGGCCCCAGGTCGTAAAAAATAATAATAAAGAATAATAATAAATAATAAAAATAACAAATTATAAATGATAATAATAATTAAATAATAATAAATCATAAAACCTAGATCTATAACCTATACCTACACTATATAACCTATATCCTATAACAACCTGTTTCCTAATTTCTATACTATAACTACCTTCTACTTTCTACTATATAACACCTACACCATAACCTAATATAACTATACCCTAATTTCTACTACAATACCTATACTATACCTATAACTACCTTCTCACTTCTACACATAACCTATATCCTAGATATCACTACAATGTTTCCTATAATTATTTATTACACTACACTGTATAACCTGTATACCTAACACTACACGTTTTCTAATTTCTACTACTAAACCTACACTACATAACCAGTATCCTTCTAATTCCTACTGCTACCTATGACACAATGATGCCTACGTGTACATGTAAACCATCATAACCTTGCTATAAAAGTACATTCTCATCTTATAACACCATACCACTATATTTATACCTACATTAACTTATTAACCTATGAATCTTACTATGACACAAAGATACCTATACCATATTAACCTTGCTATACAAATACATTTCTATCTTAATATCATACCATATTACCTATACCAAGAGTACATGTATTCTTGCCTATACCTACAACTTAT